TTTAATATATATAGAAAAACCGAATTAAACCATGAAATCTTTAATATACTTTAATGCGCTGTTTGATAAAATATATATTTTATTATTTGAAGTATATTTTATTTTGACACTCAGATTAAACCAGTACGAGGGTCGTTTGAAAAGTCCGTGCAAAGTCACTGCTGATGGCACTACTGGCGCGTATCAAGGTTAGATTTAGTTAGTAGCATCTCTTGGAGGAACACACACCAAGTTACAGCCAGATCGGTCTATTTGTTTGTGTTTGGCATTCATTTGAATCGAGGAAGTCGAGTGATTTTCAATAACGCACCAGCTCACACCTCAGCAGTTGTGGTCGCAAAATTAATGGATTAATGTTCATATTGGGGAACAAATAGTAGTCCGAGGGAGCCAAGTCTGGAGAGTAGGGGGGATGTGAGACGAGTTGGAACCCTAATTCCATTAATTTTGCGACCACAACTGCTGAGGTGTGAGCTGGTGCGTTATTGAAAATCACTCGACTTCCTCGATTCAAATGAATGCCAAACACAAACAAATAGACCGATCTGGCTGTAACTTGGTGTGTGTTCCTCCAAGAGATGCTACTAACTAAATCTAACCTTGATACGCGCCAGTAGTGCCATCAGCAGTGACTTTGCACGGACTTTTCAAACGACCCTCGTATACGACGACTTCAATATGTACCAGTGTGCGTCAAACCAAATTCGCTATTAATTTTTACATAAGAAAAACAATTTGAAAAAACAGGAAAAAAAAGAAAGAAAGAAAACATTGCAGAAGAAAGAAAGTGAGAAACCGACAACGAACGCGAAAAACACAGTGCAATGGCACGAAAGGGGGGCGATAAAACGAAAACAAGAGCGAATGAGAAAGGGGCGAGAGGAAAACCTGAGGTAAAGGGGCAAATGATGCGAACAAATCTAAGGACGCCTATCGTATAAATAATGGGTTAAACATACAGTGAATAGTGTGAATAGGTCAATATAAAATAAATAGGAGACAGATAAAGAAAAAGTGTAAAAGATAGAAGGAAAAATGAAATAAAACGAGGAAACATGCTTTCAGCTAATACGTAATTATTTATTATTTTTTAGGCACACTACGAAGATAAAATACGCGGATAGAGCCGAAAGCATGCTTCTAGGTCCAACAAATCGGAAGAAACATAAAATTACTTATGTAGTCGAGGCATTTTGTCCCTTCTGCTCCCTCGCTTCCATATTCTCTCTCTCTCTCTCTCTCCCTCCCCTCCCCTTCTTCCCTCCCCCTCCCCCCTCTACCCTCTATCTCCCCCTCTCACTTTTCGTCGTTCACTTTTTCCTCCTTGAAATGTGTGTATCTAAAAATATCATATAATTACAAAAAAAAAAGAAAATAAGTTTCATAATATTCTTCCGAATATGACCACTGGCTACTGGCTACATTCCATTATTCAGTGTGAGTACTAAAAAAATATATTTCACGTTACGTATACTTTAGTTTTACATTTTCAGTATTCGCGAATAATGGAATACAATCACTATCATTTTATTTGTGAATAATGAAATACAATCACTATCACTTTATTTGCGGCTTGAAAAGAATCCATGTTGATCTCACCTTCAAGCACCGCACTGCACTACAATACGACAGACTGACGAATACTAACCTCGGCTCGGCAACCGATCAGTTACTACGCTCGTGTATTGTTTTTTAACTGTCTTTTGATTTCCGCGTGTCGGTTTGACTCACGAATCTATATAGCTCCCGCGCGGAGCAAGAGTGAGATAACGATAGTAAGCCCGTCTTTTCGCACTGGTTGCTTGTTTGCAAGCGACCGAAAATTTCATGACAATTTTGACCGCTCAACATGGGTAAATAAGGAGAGAAGGGACATTTACGTATAAGTTTTAATAAATTACATTAATCGTATATCCCTCCAATTTATGTATAATAGCAAAAATAATTTCACGATAATTTATGAGACATTTTCATGAATTTCAATGCGTTATTTATCACGATCATAGAAGTGGTTTGCAAGAACTCAGCGTGGTTTCGCGCATAGAGTGCGAGATCAGAATGTTACAGATTCCATAATCGATTCCCTTTTTCTTTATTCATAATTTTTTTTCTAAAATAAGTAAAATTATATTAATAAACATATATTACAGGCCAAATATATTTTTATTTAATTACTGAAATTATATATGTATTTCTAAACGTTTTTAACCGACAATTAGCAAAAGAATTCGACATATACGTGTCGAATAGATGGAAAACCAGTATTTTTATATAATATGTAAATGAAATCTGTTTATTTTTAAAAAAATCCAAAAAAATTATGTTTTTGTAATTATGTTACGTTTGGTGTCAATCAGTACTATCTGTTAAATGTTTTCTTACAACTATCACCCAAATGTATGAAAATTCTGATAATGAACAAAATTGCGGAAGCGCGATGAGTAATATAATTATGAGGATGATGTCAATATAATTTTATAATTCACAAATTAAAAAGCGTTTATATGTTGTGCAATATAGAAATTAGTTTTTATTTATCTATTGAAGTGATTCTGTATTCTTCCTACAGTTGTTAGTTTAAATTTTAAGACTTAAAAGTACCATTGCTCGAAAATAGTTACATACTTCGGGCCGATTTTTAAAGCATTGCTTACTTTTTTCCCGCCTTTTTTATTACCGCTATTACGTTTGTCGGCCGAGTCGCTGCGCTGGATCGCGCGCGGACGTGTATCTCAGGAGCGTCGTACTATGTAGGCTGTAGGAAAAGTTTCTGCAAATAATATGAAAAAAAAACATATACAATTCGGTAAATGGCTTTATTGTTTTCCGAAGTATTCGCCTTTAAGATCGATACATTTTTCCATACGTTCGAACCAATTTTCGAAGTATTTTTTCTACTCTAAGGCTGTAACCTCAGATATCAGTGTACGAAACGTTTCAACAACTGCTTTAGGCGACTCAAATCGCTCACCACGCATCTTATTTTTGTTTGGGAACAAAAAGAAGTAATTATCAGGTGATAAATCAGGTGAATACGGACAATGAGTCATCAATTCGACATTATTACTGGATAAAAAAATCAACGATTTGACGTGCTGTGTGACAACTGGCGTTGTCATGATGAAGGATGATGCGACAATTTCGGTTTGTTCTATGCAATTCATTTATGACTTCTGGTAAATAAATTGTTGTATACCAATCAGTATTTACAGTCCTTCGATCCTCTAAAGCCACGGTTGTAACATGTCCGGTATAACCGAAGAAACAAGCAATCATTTGCTTGGCACTGCGTAAACGAACAACTTTTGTTGATTTCGGTTCATTTTGAAATACCCAAACAGTGGATTGTTGTTTACTTTTGGGCTCATACAAACAGATCCATGTTTCGTCCCCAGTAACGATGTTGTAGACCAAATTTGACCAACCTCGGCTGAATTTCTTGAGCATTTTTTGCTCCATTTAACACGAGTCTGTTTTTGAGCTTCGGTCAAATTGTGTGGGATCCAACGACTGCAAAGTTTTCGTACGCTCAAGTGATCATGCAAAATCGTATGTATTGCTTTCATGTCAATGCCTGAATCTCGCGGTATGTTATATGCCGCTCAATTATTTCACGCACAGTATCAACATTAGTGGCAACAACAGACGTGGATGGATGACCTTCACGGAATTCATCACTAAGAAAGGTACGTCCACGCTGAAATTCGGTAAACCAATTATAAACAATCCTATTGGATGGTGCTTCATCCCCAAAAGCTAAATGAAGTCGATCGATGCATTGTTTCGGAGTTAGATTACATTTGTAATCGTAAAAAATTATTGCCTGAAAATTTTCACCCGAAATTTCCATTTTCTTACAAAATATTATAACTTCTTTTAAAATACTATGCAAACAAAACTAGTTGGCTTGGGTACAAAGTGTTAATTGAATTATAGGTTAAAAACGTCTAATTTTATGGATATGATAGTAGCAGAACGTTGGCGCCACTGGAAGTCCTAGATTGCAGAAACTTTTCCAGCAGCCTACGTATAAAAAATATGCTGCGACCGTATCTTTCAGCAAATTATTACATTCCTTCCTACATACTTACAATTGTCTTAATTAAATCAAACTTTCTACTATTAATATATAATATATATATATATATATATACATTTTACAATACGATACAATAATGAACAATAACTTTCGATATTAGGCAGTTTTTACAACACCGTTTAGTCAGATATGGTGAACGCTAAGGGTATCGATCATGTAATTTTTTCTGTAGAGTAAAAACGTGAAAAGTGAAAAATTTTATGTATGTATGCATGTACATATACACACATGCATACAACAAAATTTTTGCCTTAAGAAAAAAAGATATATAATCGACCATGGTCACGTTATCTTCTTCTTAGCGAATAATTAAGAAAAGGATTTTAGCGTTCATCGTATCTGGATATACATTATTGCAAAAATGATTACTGTCTTTGAAATTCTATTATTAATGCGTCTTTTAAGTGCATTCTCCAGATTTATTCCACTAAAAAATATTATAATACAAACAGACTGTGTTAACATAACAACCGCTAGTCTCGGGGAAGGAAAACTAGTTGCAGTAGTGATCCCCGGGGTGGGTGGGTCCCAATCACCACTACACAGCGCGTCCTCGGGTTGCGGATAAAGGAAAAGCCTCGCTATCTCGGTTGAGGATAGAGGTTAGCTGCGAATAAATTGAATAAGCAGTAGCGGACAGCCGATTGGAATGGTCCTCCTGTTTGGGGGTTGGGCGTTTGATAGGCTCACACCGTGAAACGACTTTATCTAGAAACAATCAAAACTCGTCATGGATTCTTCTGGGGTAAAATTTTCCGGAGGTAAACTAGTCCCCCGTTCGGATCTCCGGGTGGGGACTACCTCGGGGAACTCATGTCGTATAAAGTCAAAACACGGGAGAGACATCAAAGTGGGTACGTGGAACGTCCGAAGTCTTTACAGACCTGGGGCGTTTCAATCGATGGTCGGGGAGGTCGAAAGGTACGGGGTAGAAGTTGTCGCGTTGCAAGAAACAAGATGGGCCGGGGAGGGTTCGCTTAATGCGGGTTCGTACACGCTTCACTATGGAGGGTCGGAGATCCATAGTCTTGGCATCGGTTTTATGATTAATAGGAAAATCTTATCCGCGGTAAAAGACATTAAATTTATAAACGAAAGATTAGGATTGCTCGTTGTGCAGGGCCGATGGTACAAGATCGCGATAATCAACGTACACGCGCCGACGGAAGATAAAGATGGCGAAATTAAAGACGGGTTCTACGAAGAACTCGAACACCTCGTGGATCAATTACCGAACGATTACATGAAAATAGTCGTGGGAGATTTTAACGCGAAAATCGGTAAAGAGGACATTTTTAGACCAACGATCGGGCTCGAAAGTTTGCACGAGGAAAGTAACGATAACGGAGTGAGGGTAATTAACTTTGCGACCGGCAAAAATCTTATCGTCAAAAGCACGTATTTTAAACACAAAAATATCCATAAACAAACTTGGATTTCCCCGGATAGAGGCACGCGTAACCGAATTGATCACGTTCTTGCAGATAAACGGCGTCACACGAACGTATTCGAT